CCCGCCCACAACAGGCCCCGCCCACACACAAACCACTCCCACTTTAGGCCCCGCCCCATTCCCGGCCCCGCTCCATCCCCGCCGTGCGGGCCCCGTCCCACCGGCAGCGGCTCGCTCGGGTGTCCCGATCCCGGCTGCTGGCCCCGAGCGAGGGATGCTCCTGGCTCCGCTCCGGGGCATCCACTGGGATGCGGTGATGTCCCCACTGGGATGCAGTGATGTCCCGGCCGGGATTCATGGATGTCCCCACTGGGATTCAGGGATGTCCCCACTGGGATGCAGTGATGTCCCCACTGGGATGCAGTGATGTCCCCACTGGGATGCGGTGATGTCCCCACTGGGATGCGGTGATGTCCCGGCCGGGATTCAGGGATGTCCCCACTGGGATTCAGAGTTGTCCCCACTGGGATTCAGGAATGTCCCCACTGGGATTCAGGGATGTCCCCACTGGGATTCAGGGATGTCCCTCCCAGGGACAAATCGCCCGGCGCTGGCGGCTTTGGCGTGACCAAGTGGGAGAAGCTTTTGGAGTGAGCGGTCCCGAGCAGGGGCAGGAGACACACGGGTGGAGATGATTTATCAGCGGTGTGGGGGACACAGGGACCACGTTCCACTCGCTTGGCTCGGGAACAAACGCCGTGGCTCATCAGCCGAGGCTGATGCTGCAGCTCAGAGCCAGCTGGGCAGGACGTGCTTGTGCAGCTATAAAATAAAAGCACCTGAATAAAATACAAAGCATTTTCACTATTCATATTTCACTATTCAGGACCCGGCATCCCTTTTTCCACAGCTTGAGCCTCGCTCATCAAACCCACAGTCACACCTTCACCACGACACACCTGCTCCTGTTTTGAGGTTACCCTGGGAGGTGCCACTGTCACACAAGGAGGATCAAAACCATTTGGCTCCAGGAGCAGAGAATTCTGATTCCCAACAGGGATCAGTGAATTCCCTGTTGAAAAGTTGTAATAATACATCCTCCTTAGGAGGTGCTTTATCTCTCATTCCTTTTTTTTTTTATGGTGAGCCAAAGGGCAGGGAATTGTGGTTACAAGGCCAGACAGGAATTATTGCACAAACCATGAGAATACTCAGCTTGTGTTCTTATTGCCTGCAGAGGTTCGCTTGATACACCAGCTCAGGTCTTTTAATTTGTTTTGATGTTGATTTGCATAAGAAGTGTTGAGGCCAAACCTCAGAGGGGCCTGATGTAATCCTGTCACCAAAGTACAACTGGCAACTCCAGGTTCATTTTCAGAGCTCTGCCATTTCAATACCCAAATTAAAATATTCCAGGCAACAAAATGAAAGCAACATCAAAGATGTCACTCTGATTCAAAACTCCTTCAGAACTGGTCAAATCAAGTCTTGCTTGAATGAAAGTGGGTTTATCTCCGCTGGCTGTATCTGCATTTTCTCTTTGCGCAGACACATTTACTATGGGACGCTCACTGCAGGGAGAAGCAGACAAAACACGAGGAGCTACAGGCCACTCACATTTCATTATCAGTGTGCAGCCTTGGAGGGAACCCACAGCCTCAATGAACTCAGCTCACTCTCCCATTTCTTCAGCAAATATCTGCTCCCGTTCCTGATAAGCCCAGATTGTGCTGCAGCCAGAACTCGCTGTCTGAAGGACAAGTTTTAGATGAGTCACATTTCTGTTATCTATCAATAATTGTACAGACACTGTCACAAATGTCTGCAGGCTCCCTGTTTGTGCTGAGGCAGCAGATGAGCAGCTCTGGACTGCAGCCCTCGGGGTCACGGTGGATCCCAGCGAGTCAGGAATGCCACACTGCTGGCAGGAGCCCAGGGCAGAGGGACAAGGCTGAAACAGTCTAGAAATGGCAAAATGCACAAAACAGACCTGCACTGTCCAGCAGGACCACTGGAATATGGGAAGAGCAAAATATATTGCAAAATTATATTGTAGCCGTGAGTGAGGATAACGCTGAGGATTGTACCGTGTCCGTCACTGGGACTTCCCAGAGCAGGTTAAACAAACATCCTTCAGGAACACTACAAATAAAGCTAATCCTGCCTGAGACACAGGGCTGCACTGAAAGCACTGGAGATCCCTTTCCTGGGAGTTTTCAGGATTTGTTTTCTCTTCCTGGAGCGTTGCTGCTGTGCCTGCAGTGCGGCAGAGTGCGAGCTCCTGCAGAGTCATCCCTCAGCTCTCCCCCTCTGCCCTCCAGTCCCTGGGCTCGGGAATGGCAGGATGGGAACAGAGAATTCCGTGTTGTCTCTGCCTGATTCATGGATCTAACTCAGAGTATTCAATTGCTTGCTATTTCTTGATACTCCGCTGATTTATTGCATTATTAAATTAAGGTCTGAGCCAATGTCAGCTTCCTGACTCTTCCCTAAATCCCCATGGCTGTAACCCTTCAACCCTGGCACAGTTGCCTTTGCTGCCTGGTTTTCAGCTGTGCTGCCTGACTCTCAATGTCCCATTGTTTGCACTGCCAGCCCCAGCAATTCCAAGCTCTATGGATATAAATATGGATATATTATGGCATCCATGTCAGACCCAGTGCATCCACAGGAATCCCTCTGAGCTCCCGGTGCCTTTCCAGGGAGAAGATGCTCCTGCTCCGTGCTGTCATGGGATTTCTCAGGCCCTGGTGGAGGAGTAGAGCTGAAAACCAGTTCCAGTGGCAAGACATGATCTCCCTGCCAGGCTCACTCAGCTCCTGTGGCCACACAAGAGGCAATTTCCTTCAAAACCTGCACAAGGTTTGCAGTGCTGTGCTCTCAGCCTGCCTGTGGTTTGTGTCCTTCCACAAGCACTGTTCCACTCCAAAGCCCAGCTGGAAACATTTGGAAGAAATTTATAAAATAGGAGCTCATTTTATATTAAATGAACTAATATTTAACAGCTCATATTAACTAGTTACTGTGCTATGAAGTTTCTATCCCTGGGAAAATGGAGTTGCCATGTGCAGGAAGGTACAGGGGAGTTTTGTTATCCAAAGTGGTTTTTTGAGTGTTTGGGGATTTTAGGGGCAGTTGGGAGTTAATTCTCAGTCCTACCTCAGCCAAAACATACAGGCCAGGTACTCCTTAAATACATATTTTACATGCTTCGGCTTATTAAAAGAAACAGAAATGTCAGCCTGTAAAACTGTTTACCCGTGTGGAAAGCTACTCATAAAATCATAAAAGAATGATCTGTTCTTGCAGTGTCTTCAGGTAATTTTGGAATCCGTGCCAAAAAAGAAAAGGGTTTTGCATGGAATCCCATGAAATTCAAGCCATGATTTGTCATTGTAATAATTTCTGTCTGGCTTTGACAGAACGTTCCTATAAAATTCCTGTAAAATCCCATCTGAGTTGTAACCCACAAACCCCCCATGATTATGGTCTCCTTTCTGAATAAAGCTCTTTTCTTTCTCACAAGGTGATGTGGACAGCAGTGGGAGGATGGGCTGTAGTTATTTACATTAGCCAGTTCCAGTTTCCCCAGAATGACAAAAATTCCCATGGAAATTCTGGTTGCATTAACTTTGACAGAGATATAGGACTGTTTTTGGAAACTTTAAAAAAAAACCCAAACAAACCAAAACAAAAACAACTA